CCTCCAAACACTATGTACTGTTCCCTTCCAGAGAGGTAGGAACATAGCCAGTTGGTTATCCAGCTGTCAGTGTTGACGCTGATTAACTTGATAAGTAAACATTGTCTTGGTATAGAATCAAAAGCTGGAGTATAGTACAGAAAAGCGCATCGAACATACTTCTTATCCTTTACTAAGTTTAACACTATATTGTGATGCAGAACAGCAACATCATCTAAGGTGCTTCTTTTAGATCTGTAAGCAAACTGATACGGACCAAAGTGCTCTTTTATCGCAGGCTGAAGTGGAAGTATCAATAATTTTTTCATTGTTTTGGGGAAGGGTGAATTTATTGCAATCAGTCTAAGTTTCACATTCTTATCACCAGATACTTTCTTGGGTACAGGGAATATCTTCATCTTTCTCCACATTTTCGGTATGAGATTAGATGAGAAGGATCTGTTAATGATAGTCGTGAATGGATAACATAGGACGTCAGCACAATTTTTAAAAAGGAGGGTTGGGATACCATCAGGTCATAAACATCAGGATGAATTAAGTGACTGGAGAAATATTCAGACATCAGTTTCAGTGAAACTTGGAACACAGCTATTCTTTAAACCCGTGGATAAAAAGAGCATTACATCAGATGACTGACATACAAAAGACTTATTTAAATCACAAACATCCAGCTGGTTATCGGTCCTAATCTGTTTGTCACCTGTAAGTTCTTTAAAGAGTTTCCACATACTTGAAGAATTTTTACATGACAAGAGTTTTTGAGTAAACATAGTGTTAGGACGACTAATCTCGAGGTTTATCAGAACATTTAGCTTACGAACTTCACTAGTTTTTCTCCTTGTACATTCTTTCTTTCACCCTCCATAGTCGTTTAAGTTGTGAAGATGTAAGTGGATCAAAACGTACAAAAATGGTCTCAGTGGGACAACAAGTATCAAAACAGAATTTAAGGTAACAAGTGATAACATCAGAAGTGATTTCTAGTGAGTCATCTGTAAATAATTCCCAGTTAGTCGTATGAAACATGTTTTTCAGACTTCCGATATTTTCTTCTGAGTAATTCCTATATTTGACTTTCTTGGTTTGATTTAAGAGTGTACTCTTCCCATGCTTTCCATATACTCTACGTAGAACACGAATTATACAGTGATCCGAGCTAGACAATGGGGCACGTTTACGAGTCACATATATACCTACATCATTAATGAAAACGAAGTCTAAATGGGCATTTAACCGAGTAGGAAAATCTACTACATTTTGGTGACCTAGCGATGTAAGGAAGCTATAGTCACATGAATTGAAATCACCAAATACAACTGAAGGTGAATCACTGAAGGCAGTAACAGTGAACTCAGTGAATTCATCAGCGAAAACGGATAGCGCAGATGATGTGCAGTCTGGGGTCACATAGATATTGGTAACATAAACATATTTGCATTTATTCAGATGTTTTGGACGGCATCTTAGAGTTAGACAGTCGATAAAGTCATTTGAAAACTTGAAGCACGCAAACGTAGATCGACACCAGTTCACGTTTACAAAAGTAGCTACACCGCCGCCACACCTCTTTTTATCGTTTGATCGATCCTGACGACAAATTTTGAAATCACGTAGGGATACTAGGCAGTCGTCCAAGATTCTTGAATTGTGATGACACCACAATTACGATACATATTTTGACTTAGTAGGAATTGAAGATAGTCTATCTTGTTAATTAATCATCGGTAGTTAGAATTTAGAAATTCGGGAATCGACATACGATTAATGTTCATTTTCTTCAACGCATATTGCTAACCACCACGTCTTTTATTGTAGTTTTTTGTAACTTGTGCAGCGAAAGGTCGTAGGCTTTTCATAAACGCGCCTGTATAGGTTATGCGATTAATGGACATAATGAGGTTAAAACAAAATGAAAGAACAGATAACTTGTTGAAATAAGTAGATGGCAGAAACAGGTAGCCCAGATATTCAAGTAGGCCGCCGACACATTGAGTTACAGTGACTCATTTCTTTGACCTATTTTTTTCAGAAGATAGTTTCGGAAATAGATATATTTATTCACTTTAACTACATATTAATTGCAATAAACTTTGTTTACACGACGGTGTAATGGCATGTGTCAATTTTTTGTTAGACAAGTAAATTATGTTTGAATGTATTAACTCATAGATAGTATGGACACTATGAATAGATAGCAAACTTAATGAAACTTGGACTTATAAACGGCAAATTCCATCAAGCAAACAATAAAACTGCAGTCAGATGTATGAGAAATTAGTTGATTGTTCAAACAAGCCATTTACTCACGGCGGTTGCAATGTTCGTAATACTGCATAAGAGGACAAAAGTCTCTTGTTTACATAAAATTTATTTAACATATGTAAGGTACATAAAGTTAGCTCCTACCTCTTTTAAATATTGATTCAACTGATTGACACACGCCACTCATTTGCTGCTAACAAACGAATTTCTAGCGAACAGTAAAAACACGATCAATTAAGGTAATTCTAACCATATAGTATGAAAAATGGATTACCAGGAAATCATAAATTAATATTATTATGTATTTGATTTTACCTTGGAAAATATTATAGTGACTACATCACTTATTATTCAATCGGTATATCTAATGGTTTGAGTTATATTATTACTGTGGTAATATCCAAGTGTTCATAAATTAAAGTGAAGTCTTCAAGTTAATCCTGTGAAAATTATATATGTGTTTGGTAATGAAAGTTTACACTCCAAAGGAAAGAGGAGAGGAAACGAAAGTATTAGTCGACATCAGAAATGAAGTTACCCCAAATGTCAATCATAAAAATAACCAGGAATAGTTGATAAGATACATACTTTATTGCATTATTTCATAAAGAAACGAAAAATGATTAGTGAGTAATAAATATATTTTTGTGATACCCAATTAGTAGAAAATTTTATTTCTGAAGTTTCATGACTTAATAAAAGCCACTTCTTCAGAGTAAGTTTTTATCAACCTTCGATCCACTTTGAAGAAATGGCTTACAATAAAGCCACGAAACGTCAGAAACAGTATTCTACTGATTGGGGTATCATAAAAAATATATTTATTATAAACTTTCTGCTCAACACTTAATTTATTTAAAACCATCACTTCCAACATTGGCATTAATACCTGTAAACTCATTATGGTAAGGTTTTTAGCACATGGAATTCGGTGTTTTTTCCGGAAATTCAGCGTATTGACGATAGTGAGTTATTTGGATAAGATGTAGAAAACACGCAAGTATTTTCACTAAATAAGTGACCTAAATTACCATACAAATTATTTGATATTTATTTAATTTACTAATCAATAAACATGATAACTTTGACATACTATTATAACATGGAGATTATTCTGGTGTTTTATTATCTCTAGTCGTCAACAGATCCTGAAGTGATCGAACAATTGTTTATTTATGGGTCCAGACCAAAAAGGTCAGTCAAATTGATGTTAAAATACAGAATAAATGATGGAGTAATTAAAATTTACACTTGTTGATATGGTTATTTATTTTTAAAGTAGTCAGTCGAGATGGTATGACTATAGCTTACTGATCAGAAAAAACTGTCGACCAATGATGATTATGAAGTTTACCAACAAAGTATCATGTTCGTTCCGAATATGTTACTAATATTTTACATTCTTCTTTACATGGACAATTGTTCAGAATCAAGTTAACGAAGAAAATAATATTCTTCTTCGAAGGAACAGAAAGAGTATTATGTTTTTTCTGATGGTATAATTTTGGGGGATTCAATGAATGTCAGAAATGTATTCGATCTATCTTGAAAACTGGATCAAACTCTAAAATTTCATTTCCCAATTGTCTCTTCACAAAGAGATTTATCCGCATAATCTAACTCCAGTTAAACAGATGATGAACTTTTAGTTTTCTCGCTTTAGACAAAGGTTGAATCTGGTTCCTTTCTTTTCCACGGAGATTTTGAAAAGTATTCACAGAGGACTGAATAGATGAGTAATTGTGGTTTGCGAAATCGACTTATACATCTACTTTGCCCCAAGCGAATTGAAAATATCTTAAATGTTATTAGACTGCCTCGGAAAACGTACAAATGTTAGATACAAGCGTGACATTTCAAAATAAGTCCTTGAAAACTCTTTAGAAAATCGATCAATGAAGCAAGCATTCTAAGCGTGTTAAACGAAGTATTTGTTTGAACGAGAGAAAAGCAGCTTACAGAAAAACTCTATTTGTATACAGTAGCTTCCAACCTCGAAAATAGCCATGTATTTAAAGAATAACCGACATTCTTTAGAACACGTTCCAGTTCCATTCGATAGAACAGAAGGAATAAACGTAAAACCATTCATTTTGTAATATGTAGCTGATCGTGACTTACCTTCAGATACAGTTTGGTGTCATCTTTAAGCTTACATTTAATGCATTGAAAGGTGTCCATTTGCATCTCCACTGAATGGCAGAAGCATTAACAATGCCCTATCTCAAGTCATAGTGTTGTGAACGAGGACACAGGCGTAAGTAAAACCTCGGTGCCCATAATTTAAATAAAGAATGGATTATAAAGATCTCTAAACTCTAATAACCGAGTTGGCTAATAAAGGCCACTGTGGATATTCAGAGTAATAACTTACTATAACTAATTCGAAGCTGTGTTTCCTAATTTTAACCAATATTAGAATTCATGTCTAGCTTCCGTGTGCTGACGTCAGTTTGGATCGAATGTGTAGGCTATTTTCCGCGCATAAGATGCCACCTACCATATGACAATATCATCCCCACATTGTGAGACAATCAAATGTACTTATTCACTTACGCCAGCTACCCCTCATGAAGAAGCATAGGCCGCTCAACAGCATTCCCCATCCAGATCTGTCCTGAGCATATATATATATATATATATATATATATGAGAATTATTGAAGTCGTGACTGCGATGAAAATTTAGGAAAAATTGAACACATTCTCATACCTTAGTAAGCAAACAAAAATAAATTACTTCCAATACCTATAAAACATATTTTATTTTGATTACATAAAAGAACTGCCAGTTGAATATCTTATATTGATACAAATAATATTTAATTCCTTTTTGTTATGCCGTAATTGCAATATCGACCACAAAGACATGAAGTTGCACAAGACATTTAAGTGAAGACAAAGCCAGATTCCAGGTAGACATTGTATATTTTTTCAATCGCACTGATATATGCAGCTGTACGAACATCTAATCCAAGGTTGTAGGTATTTGCAATATTCATGATGCGCTGTAATATTATAAAAATAAATTAAAATTACTAACAAATGAGTAAAGTATATTAACGACAAGAAACAATAAGATCTATAAAACATTCTTTAGAATTAGTTGATTATGAAACCGGAGAAATATTGACTGTAAGAATACCTGAGGAAAAGGATTAATTTCATGAAATGAAATAACGATTTGATTTTATTTTCGTCCAAATAACTAGTTTCCATTAGACCAATGGACTCTATATAAAGAGCGAGAGAGATTGATAATTACCTCTTGAAGTGATAACAGAGTAGTTGTGAACTTTACATCTGATGTAATGACCAAAATATACCTAATAAATGTTATTCAGACTGATTTACTGACAACATACGTGTCGTACTAAGAAAACGGAATTAAGCTAACGGATTGAGTGCAGGTCTGATAGGATCTGAAACAATTAGTCCCTTTCATAAAGCTTAGCAGACCAGTGAGAAGCATTGTTGATCGGAAAAATGTGGTGCATCTGTTCTCTACATTTCAAACAATCTGGTAATAAGTACACTTATCGATGGATTTTGAAATGGAAAGCAATGAAATTTATGAATGGAAGGTTAACATTTTATCCAACTGAATTTCATTCGTTTTTATGACTGCTTTGACAATTACATGTGACCAGACTGTTCGAAACGAATAATGCAAATACATCACATTTTCGACATCAACTACGTCTTCTTACTGCCATGGTAGGATTATAATGTACATCATGTTAGATCAAACAGTGATCAATTAAATATTTCAATTTTAGTATTTTGCTTTCATTTTTGAAACAATAAATCTAATTAATTAGGAATGGTTGGTTGATAAAAAGCAATTTTTGTGTTTTGGTATGTGTTCATATCAGCGTTTATACAACTATGATAGCACATTGGTTTCGTTGAATATCGGATACACAAAGGAGGAATGTTTGAGATCTAGTGTGTGGGTGCAACTCCAAAACTAAACATACTAGAGTTATAATCGATAACCAATGTTCAAGACCCACTCGTCAGACGATATCAAAACTACATCTAAAGGTGACTCAACAGTGCTTAATCAAACATATTCGAACGTGAAATATCAGTCTATTAAACGTAAAGTTTAATAAAAGTCATATTTTCAAATACATCGTGGACGAAAACTAAGATGTTTTGTCTCCAAAGTCTATTTATCTTACAATGAAAATAACCGAAATGGCCTAATCAGAGAAATGAGTGGGTGACTTTTTTAACAATATAAATTGCTGCAGTAATGCTAGTGACTCTCGAACCTTTAACGAAGACTGAAACTGTTAAATCCGAACGAAGAATGAGTGGTAACTGTTAGGAATTACTTATGGATTATTATTACATATATTCTTATCGGATAACTATTATGTAAACAGTTTATATCTAAATTCATATTCCTTTTATCATAAGCTTTCATTTGACCTACTGGTTACTATTAAACGATTTAGTATTCTTAAATTTTCCCAATCGATTGGGTAGTCTCTCACACTCATAGCCACTTTTGGTTTAATCTTGTATAACTGTTATTTTCTATTTTATAGTGTGGTATGGTCTGGTTTGCCTGAATATATATAAACTACGCATGTCTGAAATATATTATCCATACGGTGGAGGCTGAGATCGTGTTCTAGACTCAAAGGACAGGGCTATGCGATAAATTACTATTTTGAGGACCAATAAGGATTCAGAGTTGACACAAGGCTATTGTGCTGGTTGACATGTCATTAGTTTAGCACAGGAACGAGGTCATATAATTCGGTATTCTAATTAACGGTTTTGTCACGTGATAATTGACAGGGGCAGAAGTCATAACAGAAAGAACTAAGGTTTAAGTACTCCTGATCATCTACTTTAACTACTCCTTTCGAAATATAAAGAATAAGGAGGATAGATGTAGAACTATTAATAAACCAAATATCAATCAGTAATATATTGGATGGTACGTATATTATTATGACATCTAAAACACGAAATAATTGTTCTAAATGTAACTATCACACTGAATCACACTATAAAACTAAGTTGGTGTGTAAATTTACCTTAGCAGATCGCTCCATAGTATACTCCAGACCAGAGTGAACAATATCGCGTTCAGATGCCCCCTGAAATGTTAATGTAAAAGTAAATTGGATATTATTATTGGATTTAAAAAATTAGATTCAGTACAAATAATAATAATCGTAAGATACAAATTGACAATTGTATTCTGTAAATGGATTATCGTATTAAAAACAAGTGTCTTGGAAAATAAAGCACGAGAATTGAAACTAGTATCATATTAACATCAATATGATCAAATATAGGAGATATCAAAAAGCTTTAGCAATCACAGATATATATATATATATATATATATATATTTAAAGGGCTCAGTAGTTTTCGAGGCTATAAGTAAAAAAATATATATTCAATTTTGTAAATCTCAGTGATTTACTAAAAACTTGATTAGTACATTTGTATCTAAAGAGAATTTTGTTAAATTTCTAGACTCATCAAAACCATTCAACAAAAAACTATGTGATCCGAATATAGTTTGGATCATGGAATGAAAACATTTGAAGGATCACTGAGATCCAGCAAGCACTGATCAGTTTATTCTATGATTTAGGAGCACGAAATTCCGACATGGATTTCTAAAACTTGCCTTATGCCACGTTGAGTTACTTGTGACGCGGGCTTATTGAATGGCGAATATACAGCATACTATTTTAATCAGGTATTATTATATAGGTTTGAGAGTAAAAAACATATGTAGGCTGTGGATATCTGACCATAGGTGCTTTCACAGAATTCTTAATGCATTGTGGAACGACCGAGTGAACAATCTTAAGACTAGATATAGGATACTGAGCGTAGATGGGGTTGTGAATCTTGAACGACTGTGGTATGTTTTATCACTGCTCACCTCGAAGTGAGACAATGACTGGCAGAGAACTAGGGATAAACACACCAAAAACATGTCATCAGTTCGTGAAATCACTGACTATTAAACTAAGCTGAGTTGACAGACCCACATGTTATGGTCGAGGTCCGCTAGATAACCAAAACAAATGTTTGGCGACTTTGGGTGACATAGCCTTGAATTAGTCAAAATGGCACAAATGCATCCGCCCTTTATTCTCGCTTAAATATAAGCTTTAACATTATTTTAAACTTTTTATTCGTCAAATTCAACCCTTCTTCTCGAAATAACTCTTTAAACGCTTAATCATTTCACATTATCATTGATACGATTATTATTTCGAATGTTTTACTATTAATCATGTTAATTTTATCTCACTATGACGTGTTATGGTAACTTCGGTTAATATTTTTTTTAGGTTCTACGTTGATCTACTTGTCAGCTATACATACCGGTAACCTGACATGTGATCGAAGCCTATTGAAGTTATTTTATCCTAAAACTAAAAGGCAACTCCTTGACCCAAACTATAGTTTAGTTTCCAAAGACAACCTGGAATAGATGAAAGCAAACTTATCATTACATATAAGACGGACAAAAATGGTTTCATTAAAACATTATTTGAGATTTTCTGTACTAACTAACCGTCTTAACTCCCAATCCTTTTAGATGATGTACAGAGATTGACATAACCCAAAAATTGACAGAACATTACTACAAAGATCTATTAATTGAAATCATTTGAGTTGAGAAGAGTAACTTTAGCACTAAGTATCCAACATTAGGCTACACAAATACAATACAAATTAAGACATGCTACATTATTGGTAAGAAGCCTCATCGTTACGAGGTTTCTATGGGTATATTATTAAACCGTAGTTTGTAGATAATTAAGAAAATATATATCAAGGAATTGTCATTTGCAATGGATAAATATTATGAAACTGCAGTTAAACAGCCTCAAAAATGCACAATAAACTCTATTAATAAATTACTCAAGGCTTACACATACTAAAGAGACAAGAATCCATCACTGAATAAGTATGGGCCGAACACTAAACAGCAGTGCTCAACAAACCAAATGTAACATAATTCAAGTGTGGCGCAACTATATATAGATTATTTATGTAAGCTGGATCTAATACAAATACTTTAACAGGCTATGATTTGTATGAATATAATTTTCAGGAAGAATTTACATACAATAAATGGTTTAATAACAAGATAGCATACTTTCCAAATAATTTTACTTTTGATAACATGACAAAAACATGAGACCAAAAATGCCAAATTACCGCAATGCGAAGCTGAAAATCTTCGGATGGTGTTATCGGTATTTTGTCAGCGAACTTCTTCTCTAGAGACTGTTGTACACTATCTGTAATTTTAAAAAAACGAGGTAAATAAATTTGACTCGGGATAAAAATGTGAAATGAATAAGTTAAAAGTTAATTTCTGTTTACTGATCGCATTGGAATGAAAAGTGGTGAGCGAAAAATTCGATTAACATTAAAAATATGACAACAGCTAACAGCTACAGCTTGAGGCACCTAGAATTTCAGCCCCAAATATGAAACTATCATACATATATTTCCAGTTTTCAAAAACAAGATTCAATTCTAACTCTAATTAGCTAACCCAAATATTCAAATCATAAGCTTTTCACAATTCGAAACCTATTTTTTCCACGTCAGTCTACGCCCTCAATATTTCTCTTATCTTTCCTGATTTTCTGTGTTACTGTAAAATGAAGTAACTTAAACTGGTGCTTTCATGCATGACTACTGTTTTTTAGATAGTTCTCGATGAACTGACAGGCACTGAATCGACATCAGAGACAGAAATGAAAAAGGTAAACTGTTGTTACTATGTGGGGTTTTTAGTTTTACCTTAGAAACGTGAACAACCAATTATTAAAATCATTAAGTAAGATTACATTTCATTCATAAATTAGATAAAACGTTAGTTGGTTTGGTTAATTAAAACTCATCATCGTATTCTGCTTCCTGTTTGTCAGTCTAGTTAATCTGACCTGAGTTCACAGGGTATTTTGTTGGTCTGCCATTGGTTGCTGATGAATAATGGACGGTTAAGTTGTTTCCCAAGACGTTGAGCCCTGGAAATAGATTATCGACCCACAACTCCCAGAAATTATTGCTAACCGATTGATTGATAAGATTAGAGATCAGTACCAAGAGTCTAGACAAACACGACACCGGTCAATACTCAGTGTTTAATTAATTGAAGATATGTTATATTTCATTTGGAATATAGACTTATAAAGACTTTATTAACGCTTTATCTCCCCCAATAGGAGATAAACAGATGTGGCCAAATGAGTTCCAATTAAAGATTTGATTCATAGTGAACAAATGCATTTCTAGACTCGCTTCAAATGAGGCATTTTCGAGGTATGCAAGACATTTACCCGAATTCCCCTACACAGAGAAACCGTATACATAATCTTTAATTGACATGATATCATGGATTACCAGAAATAACATTCTCTATACCCCAAATAAAAACTGATCGGGCGATTTTATAAACTTTGCCAAAAATGTTATATCTAAACATAATTTACGAGTAATTCTGTCGTAAATGAGCTTTGATTATGATATTAAGAGCTGGCATGACCAAAAATAAATAAGTATGAGGACACATTATTAATGACTAGTAAATTCCATCAATAATTTAAACATACTGTCTACCATTTGTACAGTGAATTTGTAATTTCACGTGCTATGGTTAATAGTAAGTTGCGCTGCTAACTAAAAACTGGGAACACTAAAGCAATTTGTCGGTTTTATATTCGTGTCATTAACTCACGAAAAAGTAGATTATCAGAAACACCTTCACGACTGAAGTAAAATACATACTGGATGGCAACCCAAAGAGTATTAGGTACGAGAAGTATTAACTCATAGTAGATTATGACGTAAAAAGACCATATTACTCCTTTTAATATTTACTTAACGTAAAATATACTTTAAAAATAGTACTTGTGTTTTCGATTATTTATGAAGATGAAATAACTTACTTAGTAACTGATAGTTGGAATCTCGTTCGTACTTAAAGGTTAGTCGACCATAGCTCACGTGATTTAAATTTTTAAGCCATTCAAAATACGAGACAGTAACACCACCGGCATTTAGATACAAATCTGGAATAACCAGCTTATTCTTCTCCCGCAGTATCTGGAATGGAATTAAATGCGAAATATCTACGGTTGAACTGAACTTAAATCTATGATTTAGCATGCCGCCAACCAAGAAATTCAAATCTAGCAAACAAAGTGTATAAAAGACCTAGTGAATACAGTGGACTAGCTAACAAATTTGTGATTTGTGGGATGGCGAAAATGTAGTTTATGAAATTTATAAAAAAATGCCATGAAATATGAGCGCCATATTTAGTGAATTAGTTGCCAAACGATTAATTCTGTATCTAGACAAAAGTTTGTCTATGAAACAACAAATAAGCTCTCAAAAAACTAACTTTATCAGCTTTTGGTGTGGTGGGACCATTTGCACCCTCCCCAATTAATTTTGCTCTGATCTTATCGGCGTTGCCACTATGGATTTGCTTTTCATTTGCCGCAGGAATAAGAATATCACAATCTTCGAAAAGAAGAGAACCTTTTGTATATGGTTTTGCACATGGAAAGCCAACAATCGTACCATTTGCCTATGGTTAAGTAATGAAACAGAAGTCTTGGTAAAACAAATATAGCACGCCTAAAAATAGTGAAAACTAATACTAAGATGTCTAGGATGTTCTAAGTAACACGTAAAATATGTATCGATCAGAAAACTGATTCGTAACAAAAGCAAAGTAAAATAAAATGACAGAAGTTTAGACGATACCGACAGATCTTTAGTATGGACAACAGGCAAGACAGTAACTAGTGCTGAATCAATGTGATAAGCAAATTAGACAGATCTATACTGATTATTAAGTAAAAAATGCAATTTACAAACCCATGAAAATATCCTACCTCTCAATCCAAAATAGCTGGTGCTTGAGACTTCATGTTGAAGAGAAAAAACGTGAGTCGTATGCAAATCACTCTTTGGTGTTTATGTTTCTGAACTACTTATGACTATATGGAATATGCTAAGAGTACAACGAACGCATATATCGACGTTACGAGAATTCCAGTACTATTACAAATAGGATCCCTGAAATAATAACTACTAAAGATATTTACTACTCATACAGAAATTATTTAACTGATGGTAAAAGTTTGTTGTGGAATAGTACGATATGTTATATGAAGTAACATAAATTATGAATGGGACTCCCATAGACGTTAACTCAGACTACAATTGTATTTCGTTCTGTTGAGTAGCGGTTTATTAGTAAGGACGTTCAACTTTCCACCACTAATTAGAAACCTACCTACCTGCTTCGGTTTGAGCAACCGGGTATTATCACTATTCAATACATCTTAAGCATTGCTCTTAAACAAGTATCTGGTCAGCTAATCGATTGAGTATATTGCTAGCGTAGAGGGCAGTTCACAGATGCTTTCCGAGTGACCACTGATGTCAGAAATGTATGCTTACTCTCGCCATTTATCTCCTCGTTTTTGACTGAACTATAAAGACGTCCACAGTACAGAGTACAGTGAACACCTTGAACGCAGCTGGATGTCAGTCAGTCAGTAACAACGTGGAACTTCGTACGTACGTACATCAGTTCGAGTTGCCATACCACATTAGCACAGAGATTCAGTGATCGATTCAAATCCCGTAGTGGTAGAGGTAATGAAAGTAAAAGTAGTGATAGGGAACATTAGGGTTTGATGACGTTATTTAAAGAGTATAATCCAGTGGAATAGATTTGGAAAGAAAATAAACGACATGAAGAATTCAGAAGATTAGCGTTTGAGAGGACACACCACAATTATCTACATCCATCAGGGGTGCTTCCTAAACGTCATCGATGGGAAATTGGAAAAGAATGGAGAGATTCGGCAACCCTGTCTAACCCTATTGCTTGAACACAAAATGGAGAGGTGGTTGTATGCTTTCATTCTCTCTGAAGTGTTTGTATATAGGGCCTTAATGACGTTAATAATCTTCTCAGGTACACCCTTCTTCAACAGACAATCTTACAAAACAGTCTAGTTCAATGGATCCAAGGCGGCCCTGATGTTGAAGAACACGACAGTTGTTGACCTGCAATAAGTATGGCGGCGTCCAAACATTTAGCGGGAGGTGAAGATATGACAAATACATCTTCGAGCAGATCGAAATCTAGCCTGCTTCGCGCGCAAACAAGGGTATGATCAATCTTGTACACAACCACGCCAGCGGTAGCTGAATGCGATGTGATCAATCTGAGTCCAGCATTGAAATGAAGGGCGAGGGCATCAGGTAGTACATCGGCGATTACTTTGCCGGCAGTTAGTGCTAATCAGAGACAGTCTGTAGTTTGTGAAACGTTCCAGTAGACGCTCGCCGTTATCTGACATGCAACCGACGAGTTCCCATTGGCTACTTAAACGAGTCCCGTCGGTCTCTAGACGCCCGACATGCACATTCAAATCTCCGGCTAGTACCACAATATCCCTTGGAAGCACTTTCCGGAGACCACTTAACTGGTGGTAGAACTCATCCTTGATAGAATCCAGGCAATCTGTTGGGACATAGGCGGAGATGAAGAAAAGTCATCGTTTCCCACACCGATTTCTTCTCCATTTGATTAAGCTTTCTTACTTAGTAGTAAACAATCGACCGTTGATTGGGACCCCATCGATTAGTCCTGCTTATATTCTGGCGCTTAGTGCAATGTCAACGCTATAAAAACCGGATAAAGACGTCACAGGGTCCCTGGATAACCACACACGAAACAAGCTTTTGAAGCAACAGATGGAGAGCCAATTAACAGTTATTCACTAGAGTTTTGAACATAGATGTCGGATAGACAACAGACGTCAATGTTGAAACCTTCTAAAGACATAGCCAACCCTATTTGTTGTCTGATTCGGATTAGTGTGTGCTTGTTGAAGGAGGCTAGTTTGAGTGGCATAAATGGATTCAGAAAGTCTGGTTCAGAACTCGTGTTCGGTGCTAGCACTCAACTTTTGACCAGTCAGTGACTTGAGATCGTTTAAATAGGACAGGAGTTCCACTATAGGTGCGCTGCTGTATGAGTTGAAGGATAAAGGAACACAAAGTGGGAATAATAGAGAACAGATACGTGTTGCAATGTAAAAATGACTAACTACAAATAATTTCGAGTATGATTTGCGAGAATGAGAGTTAAAGCATGAATAGTTTATCTAGTTGCAGTCGTTACTTAGTTCGTGTGGGTTGGAATACTACTTGGGTGCCCATACCGAAGTAGTTGGTTTTCTTAAAACATTCCCACCGCAATAAGTCAGTGAGTAGAACTTTCGTGGTGCTGGTTATATATACATAACCATATGAGAGCATTTCGAAAGGAAGAGCAAACTATCGAAACCCTCAGCCATACCAGGGCATTTGAAGGCGTTACATATCTATAACGAATGATGGGCCACATGCTCGTTTAACATATTCGAGTAGTTTACAAACAACAGTTTTACTATTTGTCTTTCATACACTATGTTGCCAATAAGCGAAACTGCATAAATGAAGCATCATGATAATGAACATGAGTAAACCCTAGAATGAAAAATTTAAATATTCGATCAATGGACGCCACAAGCAACAATGAACTGCAGATCCTTAGATGAGAAACTCACATGTTCAAAATTACGAAACCATTGGTCAAATAAAATCGCTTCAGAGAAAACTTTCAGAGGGCAAACTTCAGGAATTAGTAAATAAAACGTTCATTACAATGGGACACCGAAAAATAAGACAATAAAACTTACGATTTGCCAATCTTCGAGTTCTCGTGGGTCTATACCATCTGCGTTGTAAATCTGTCCGTCGATTTCAGCAATACCAATACATTTTGCACCAGCTCGTACAAGATAACGCATTGTATGCAAACCAACATTTCCGAATCCCTGAACAATGAAAGTTTTGTCCTTCAGCCCTGGGGATAAACCGATAGCATCTGCATATTTTGTGTTATTTAAGAAGTTGTCTATCCCATGATAAACCCCCTGAAAAGTTAAAGTTATCAACAACAAAAATGCGGCAGCTAACAATAAAACGTTAGACATGGAAGTTCGTAATCAACCCAAATGTAAGGTCACTGATATTGCAATATAAAACAAAAAACAGCTTGCAATTCACTGCTACAACAAAATGCTTACGAGTTTTTCGATTGCGAAGTTGATATTTGTGTAAACTTAGTACGGTTAACAGGTGGAAGTGATTATTAGGCGATAACAACTTACGCGTCCTGTTGCGGAAATGCGACCGTGAATACCACCCATAGCGATAGACTTTCCTGTTACACAAGCATGACTGTGCATATCGTTGTGACCTACAAAAAAGCAATGAAGTTTCAAAACCGTTAGAAGTAATATGTTTGAAACCTGGAAAGAACAGAAAAAAAGATGTATCTAAACAAAGTAATATGACCTTATCAATAATGCGCAAAACACTAGTTAACGATTAATTTGAACGTACCAACGGTGTTTGCATACGTATCCGCGATCCAACTCATCTCCCGGGGTCCAGTCCCCATATCCGGAGCAGGAACATCAGTTCCAGGACCTGAAGATCTTCATGAATTAATACGAACTAACCAAGAAATCCTTGTTTTGCCAACTCAAGAGCAAACCGACGGGTTATCCTTTCTAATTCTGCCGGAGAGTGGTCTTTGGGATTTATCTTAATTCCCCCTTTGGCGCCACCAAACGGAACATCTACGACCGCACATTTATAGGTCATCAGAGCAGCAAGAGCCATGACTTCTTCTCTGCATACGTCCATACTATACCGAATGCCACCCTTAGTGGGTCGCCTGTGCACACTATGTTGAGCTCTAAAGCCCTGAATAATCTTGAACGTTCCGTCATCAGCTTTATGGGGAAAGTTAACCTCGAAAATGTGAGTAGGTGGCCGAATTATGTTAAGCGTTCCTTTAACAATCTTTGTTTTTTCATTATCTGGCGCTTTTGACTGAAGTTTTGATATCAAATTTTGTTCAACAAGGGCTGAAGCCTTATCATAATAACCTTCAACCATGAGATGAAACGGTATATCATCTTGATCAGTGCTGTATAGACATTTCCGAACATTCACAAAATGAAAAATTGGTTTTCGACACAGAACTTCAGGTTTATGTATCAAATTACTAAACAAACCCACTAACATTTTTGAAGTGGAAACAACCTGGAAGATAAAATAAATGGTGAAACAACGGTGAAGTAAAACTCAAGTGGTCGGATTTATGTATAGATTCTAGCGCAAAATGAATTCAACATAGCGGTTAAATAGAATCTCGGTACTCTATTTGATGTAAATTCGTGGTGAAAACCCTAGCTGAATTTCTTAGCCTTCCTAATTCCTCACACTAATTTAAAAACTTCATATGAAGTTTGTTATATCTATAACCCCAAAAAGTAGGTGGACATCCACAAGGCCACATAAACTCGCATGAAGTTCGTCCATATAATATCGTATCGTCCACTATGATGATACAAGCTAAAAACACAAGCAATAACGTAGCAAACCAAGCTTTCGGTGAATCCAGTTTCCCACGGAGCTATCCAGTAGATGTAAGTCAAACTAGCAAACTTGAGAAGACCTTGAGATCAGCCAATCAAATACATGTTGTAGGTCATGCAAATGAACAAATCATACAAAACAACAAAATTCGGTTTCTAAATGCCATGATTTCAGGTCCACATTTCTAAATAAGACATTTTTCCGACAGGGATTGGCGAAGCAACTGCAGCATTCCTACAGATAAAGAATATATGGAACTCAAAACAACTCGACCAATGTCAAAGTCAGAATCTTCAATACGAACGGCAAGACAGTTCTACTGTACAGAGCTGAAACTTGTAGAAATACTACAACCAGCATCAAAAAGTACAAGTAATTATGAATAATTGTCTAGTCAAGATACTCAGTGTTCGTTGACTGGTGCCCTATGACTTAAAGTGTTACGCCAACTGTGACAGAAATGCCTTTCGAGCAAACCTTGAACTGGTAACATTGAAGCGCATTTTTGGTAAGTTTGACGGGAGAACTTTCCACATGATTTTCAACAGTTTCGTTCGTCCCCATTTAGAGTACGAAAACATAGTATCCCTGCTACACTCCAAAAGGATAAGGACACTCTGGAGCGTATCTAACGGCGAGCCACGAAATCAGTTCGGGGACTCAAATTTAAACCTTATGAAGAGCGCCTCCAATCACTTGACCTTTACCCATTAGAATATAGGCGTCTTAGAGTTGACTTTCTAACGGCTTACGGTATCCTTAACACACCTGGACGCCCTCTTAAACACTTACTTAAGCTTAGTCCCAACACTAACCTAAGGGGTAACACCCAGAAACTGGAGATACAACATAGTAGAACGGACTGCAGACACAATTTCTACTCCTTAAGAGTTGTCAAATGCTGGAATTTGCTGCCAGCTGAGCTAGTCCAAGCAACTTCCCAGGAGTCCTTTAAGAGGCGAATTGAACTATTCCTAAGGACTAAGGATAGTATCCTACTATGATTTACCAATTCATTTTCTTTCTCTTTTATCGTTAATATACCTAGATTCTTGCCTGGAGGTATTGGTGATCCCCTGCTACTAGACACGGAATCCTGTTAAACGAAAGCTTCTATTCCGTCCACAACCACTTGAACCATTTGGATCCCGTGAGCAACAGTTTACAGTGGGAGAGAATAAACCAGCTTCCAGTTTAAGAGGAAATTGAAGAAAGATGCTGGAAGTTGATGGAACATACATTACAAAAATCACCAAGCTGTTTCATGAGACAAGCGCTAACTTTTAATCGTGAAAAATAACGGAAAAGGAAAACAACGAAGAGCACAGTGCACTGAGAATCGGAAACAGATAAGAAAAGGATGAATAACAACTGGAAAGGACTGTTCAAGACAGATCTGGATGGGGAATGCTGTTGAGCGGCCTATGCTTCTTCATGAGGGGTAGCTGGCGTAAGTGAATAAGTACATTTGATTGTCTCACAATGTGGGGATGATATTGTCATATGGTAGGTGGCATCTTATGCGCGGAAAATAGCCTACACATTCGATCCAAACTGACGTCAGCACACGGAAGCTAGACATGAATTCTAATATTGGTTAAAATTAGGAAACACAGCTTCGAATTAGTTATAGTAAGTTATTACTCTGAATATCCACAGTAGCCTTTATTAGCCAACTCGGTTATTAGAGTTTAGAGATCTTTATAATCCATTCTTTATTTAAATTATGGGCACCGAGGTTTTACTTACGCCTGTGTCCTCGTTCACAACACTATGACTTGAGATAGGGCATTGTTAATGCTTCTGCCATTCAGTGGAGATGCAAATGGACACCTTTCAATGCATTAAGTGTAAGTTAAAAGATGACATCAAACTGTATCTGAAGGTAAGTCACGATCAGCTACATATTACAAAATGAATGGTTTTACGTTTATTCCTTCTGTTCTATCGAATGGAACTGGAACGTGTTCTAAAGAATGTCGGTTGAAGATGCCACAGGTATTCGGAGTTTGACAACGCTTTAACCAGTAACACCTTCTAATGCGAAGCGCACCCACCAAGTAAAATCAAAAGACAGAAGTGAGGTGATCGAAGATATATTTGATAAGCTATCAACATATCGAGGATCGTTTGCACTAATCTGGCTAGCGATTGAGGCAGATGTTGAGCACGGCGTTTCCACACGTGATCTGGTGCGGATGAGTGACCGAGCGCCTTCAGCTAGATGAGTCCACTAAAACTGTGGTCTGTATCCAATGTCGAAAACTTACAGAGCTATTTGATTTTGGGGAATTATTTACTGCTACAGATCACTCCCCGCCTAGTGGGGTAGTGATGACCCTAAGATGTGGCCAGCCAGAAGTTTAAGCTGAACGAGTTTTTCGTTGGTAAACACTCTTCTGATAGCTTGCTAGGTTTAGCAGCGTCTGGTCGTCTTTCCTTACTATAATGGACCATAAAGTACAATATAGTAAAAAAAGAAAAGGTACAATGAAGATTTTTGTTTCTCGCAAATTTCATCGTTCTTTTTATCGTCTTTTCCAGCTGTACTGGAAAAGAAGAAAATATGTAAGTGCATGTCCAAATACACTCGTACGCGCGTGAAAACACAAAACGGGAGAAGAAAAAGTAAAACAAACTCATGCTCACGTAATGGCGTAGAAAAAGGATTTTTATAATATCGTTTTTTGTTTTGTTTTCTTTTTTGAAATAAAAAGATAAAAATATATAAGCATATTAAATTCGGATTTTTTTTAAAAAAATTATATTTAGTACAAGGGAAAATCGAGAGGATATAAAATGTTAACTTGTGTCTTACGTGCAGTAATCGTTCAAGTGTTCTGGAAATCTTACTCTCCTTCCAGAACGCGTTGTTTTGAGTTTATTTTCTGATAACACCGAAGTATCAACGTGTGTGTCGGCTGTCGATTGAGGTATTATAAGGGCAGGAGTTGTGTCGTGCGATTGTATTGAAGGAAAATCGACGTGAATGGGATTTCCTTTTAAATACGCTGCTTTGAGGCCATCGATGCTGATGCTTTCGTTGGTTCCGTTCTTACGGATTACATAGCACTTAGGTTCGCGTTGAAGAACTTTGAAAGGTCCTTCATATGTTGATTCGAGAGGTCGTCGATGTGTGTCTCGACGTACGAAGACGTGTGCACTATATCGTAAGTCAGGTTGAACGAAAACATCAGTTGATTGTGGTCGAGTGGAAAAAGGTTTAACTGAACGCATTGCGTTTGTAAGCCTGTTCGTGTAGGAGGTTAGCTCCATGTCCATTGAAGAGGATGAAGGATCCACGAACTCTCCTGGAAGCCGAAGAGTCGTACCATGAACGAGTTGAGACGCAGTGTATCCATTGTCAGCTTTCACTGAATTGCGTATGCCTAGTGAGACGAGTGGAAGAGCGTCAGTCCACTGAGAAATGTTTGAGGCTGATAGTGACGCTTTTAGTTGTCGGTGAAAACGTTCTACTAACCCGTTTGCTTGTGGGTGGTAGGCCGTCGTTCGGAAGCGAGTGATTCCTAGTTTCATCGTCAGACAACGGAACAGTTCAGATTCAAACTGACGTCCACGATCTGTAGTAATGGTTGTTGAGCAGCCGAAGTTTGCTACCCATCGCTCGACGAAGGCGCGGGCCACTGTTTCAGCAGTAATGTCTTTGATGGGTACTGCTTCTGGCCATCGGGTAAAACGGTTTACACGGGTTGAAAGATAGGAATATCCATTCGAATCTGGTAAAGGTCCTACCAAATCCAAATGAACATGGTCGAAGCGAGCATCGGGAGTTTTAAACGAGCCTACGGGACATTTGTTATGTCCAATAACCTTAGATTCTGGCAGTTTACACAGGAGCGTGCCCACTCCCTCAGGTCTTTATTCATACCAGGCCAGCAAAACCGTTCTGCTATAAGCTTGATGGTTGCACAAACACCTGAATGAGAGAGTCTGTGAAACGTATTGAAGACGTTGCGTCGATAATGTTTCGGCACGATTGGGCGATCCCTACCTGTAGATGTGTCGCAAAGTAAGGTTCCCTTACCTGTCCCCATTTGTTTAATGAGCAGTTTAAGTGTTGTTGAGGAAGACTCGTGCTGAAGATCACTGTCTTCTTTTTGAAGTTGGGCGAGTTTTAAAAGGTCGATCCCTTGGAAACTGTTCAAGGAATTTATACGAGACAAGGCGTCTGCAACTACATTGTGTGCTCCAAAAATGTGTCGAATATCTGAAGTAAACTGCGAAATGTAGTCCAGTTGTCGAGACTCACGTGGTGAGTACTTGTCTGAAGATGAGCTTAAAGAGAAAGTAAGAGGTTTATGATCGGTAAAAATGGTGAATTCACGGCCTTCGATGTAGTGTTGAAAATGCCGGACAGCACAATACATAGCTAGGAGTTCCCTATTGAATGTGCTGTACCTCGATTCAATGTCTAGCAACCGTCTAGAGAAGAATGCCAAAGGTTGCCAAGAGTGGTTAACCCATTGTTGTAAGACTACTCCGATTGCTGAGTCGGATGCGTCTACTGCGATACTAATGGGCGCTTCAGGGTCCTGATGAGCAAGCATGGTTTCTTGGGCGATACGTTCCTTAACCGTGGAGAATGCTTTCCGTGCGGTGTCATCCAGATTGATGGATTTCGCATTTCCACGAAGTTGGTCGGTAAGAGGTTTCATAAGGGACGCGCATTTCGGTATGAATTGTCTATAAAAACTTACCAAACCGTTTAACGTGCACAATCGCTTGATGGTGGTCGGTTCTGGGTAATCCAGAATGGCCGCCACTTTTGTTCTAAAGGGTCGGATATCTTGCGCATCGATAGTGTGTCCTAAGAAGTCTAAGGAGTCGGTTCTTATTTGGCATTTCTGAATGCTTACAGGAATGCCATCTTTTTAGTCGGTCGAAAACAAGATCCAGATGCTGGAGATGTGATTCTCTGTCCGGACTTGCTATTAGATAGTCATCAACATACGCATGTACGAAGTTGAGACCTCGATAAACATCATCCATGAACCTTTGAAGAGTCTGTGCCGCGTTTCTCAGACCGAAAGGCATTCGCAAAAATTCATAGAGTCCAAAGGGCGTCATAATAGCGGTTTT